ATACATGTGAATGCGTGTTTCCTACTAGCAATAACCACACAGTTTACACAACATGGAGTCAAACAGCACACTGGGACCAAGATGGAGGACTCAGCACTGAACCACATGTCTGAGGACCTCTTCAGACTGATCCAGGCGACTATGATCAGAGGCATGCAAACTACTAGAGCAAGGGCAGTCACTGGAGTGTCTGGTGGACCATTGGTGCACAAATATGGAGCATAGTTGTGACTACGGTTACCAAGGCACACCGGGTTGAGTGATCCATACTCAACAATGCAACACTGTCTTTTAAGAAATGCTCTCCTCAAAAACAGGAGACGGTAATAGGAACTTAGTTCATGGCCGTTTCTGCTTCTCATTGGACACCTGTACATCTCTATGCAGAGAGAAATGCATGGTAACACGCATTTTTAAAAGCAAAAACGCGAGCAAAAAAACATAAATCATGCAAAAACTGCAAATGCCTAGGCGTGAACCTAGCCTTAGTAGTTATTGTGGCGGTTTCACACATTGTTACAGTCACATTTTGTTTGTATCACTGTTGTGCATTGCAATCACATTTTTTTTATTTTTATATTACTGTGGAGCACATAGAGATTGTACATTTTTAGTTACCGAGTGCGACATATCTTCTAAAATAACAAACAAAAAAATGTGGTAAATACCCGGAGTTCTGTATGACCCTAAACAGTGAACTTCCTTCCTCAATATAGATAGCTACCATAAATAGCTACACAGATCAAATATGCTACAATATAACTGGTGTGCTAGTTTATTACAGGTCTGTAGAAGGAATGTTTCAGGAAGGCAAAACAACAAGACTTCCTAAAAGAGCCTTAATCCAAGTATACCTCCCAACTGTCCCTCATTTGGAACCAGTCGTCCCACTTTTTTGTCTGATGCATGAAAAGGTTCTGTTTTACCATCAAAACTGTTATTGTACACTAAAACCTTTATCTTAGCTCTTAACTATCTTAAAGATTGAAATTTCATAAAGCCAGTCCGGTATTAACAAAAAGTAATAGTGAAAAAACAATTTGGGGTTTAACAAATCATTATTTGCATACAAATTCCTAAAGGTCCACATACCTGGGGGTGTGGTAGCAGTTTGTCCATTTCCTAAATACATTGTGCTGGAAGGTGTCCCTCCGTCTCATCTCAGAAAGTTGGGAGGTATGCACAAGGTTAAATACAAGGAACATTCTGATTCTTCCTCAGAATTTGCAGAGCTTATGATCTGTAGATTGAGCCCCTGAATAGGAACAGATCTCTCTCTAAAGAAAGAGGTCAAAACACATTTCTGCCTCTTTGCAAAGCAGATTTGACCAGCTTCTTGCATACAAACATATGGGATTAAAATTCCCGGTACTAAAGAATCTTAATGGCTGTATCATGTGCAGTGAGCCATCTACCAATGGAAATTATGGTTTCAGTGTTATGGTTTTAAAATCAGGAGTATAACACATTACTAAAAAATGGAACTGTGGGCAAAAGTGTTCTTAACCCTTGCACTGGGCTACCCCAGCACTGCAAAGGTTAAGTGCTCATTTTTGTCTAGGTGCTTTAACAACAACAACAACAACAACAACAACAACAACAAAAACAAAAAAATCCTGATCCTCGGAACAGGCTTGCTCTTACACAGGTCCCTGGTGCCTCACTTACCCTCCTCAAGTCATCACATCCTATAGACAGTGCATAAGACTTGAGGATGCCGAGGGACATACTATCACTGCAGCAGAAAATGAGACCGGCTTCAGGGGCAGGAGTAGCAGCCAGCCTGCTCTGTGGTTCGGGTGAGTATAACTTTTTTTTTTAGCTCCTAGACAAAAACACTCACTTAACCCTTGCAGTGCGGGGATAGCCCCACTGCAAGGGCTAAGAACACTTTTGCCCAGAGTGCTGCTTTAAAAATGGAACACCAAACTCCAAACTGTTCCCCTTTAGTGAATAACCCTGATCGTTCTTACTATGGGGAGTTTTTTTTTTCTTCTTTCTCCTTAAAGCAACGGCATAGTCATAGATCCTTTACAAATGTTCATTGTGTGTCGCTTGCTTCCACTGTCTGAAGGCGGTGAAGCACAATAAAAATGCAGGAGATGTTAAAAAAGAATAGAAAAAAAGCCGAGGTAACCCTGTCAAAGTCACATGACCAGCTCTTCCCCAATCACAGAGCTCTCTCACATTTAACAAATGGATCATAAACTGCAGGTCGCAGTGTGGACCTACATTACACAGCATAACGGAGAGCGCATAGCAATACCTGCTCTCCTTTATAAAATCAGCCCCTTAGATAATGATAGTTTGTTACAGAAGTTGAAATATAATGTTACACAAAGCAACAATTGAGCCTCATGGCCGCAGGAATGTCACGTACTGCCAACCCCTGCATTGATGGGCAGATGACATCTGTCACACAACAGCGAGGTTAGCTAGTGGTTCTATTATAGTGCTGGAACAAGAAGCCCCTTTATATTAATATCATTGGTGGAAATAGAAGCAGTCCTTCAACTATTTTGTACTGTGAAAGAGCATGTGACAGCACTGGACCAAATCAGAACCATGTGCTAGAAGACATTTACCTGTCCTTGGGTAAGTATTTTAGAGTGCTGGGACCGCCTGCATTTTCCACCAATCACTGACACATGCATGACACGGAGGCTGATTTACTAAAGGATTTTAGAAGGTTCACGCAATAAATTGTGTGAATATTCACTTCATTTATCCAATCATGTGCAAATAATAGGTAAAAAGGGATTTTTACATGTTTGGATAATTGAAGTGAATGAGCACACAATTTATTGTATGTTCCTTCTCCCTTCTACAAGATGAGGGACGATTGGGTCCACTTACAGGGAGATTCTCCAACAAAATGCAATACCAAGTGCCTTGGCGCGGCAGTGTGGCTTCTACATATTTTTGGCCAAAAGTTTGTGCAACTAAAACCTCTGATTTTAACGCATACTGTTGACAGGGCTACTTGTTTGGTTGCAGGCTGGCTGGCAGGTTGGGGCTGGGGAACTTTTGTGTTTTTGTATTGTTGTAAGCCTTCCCATTGTGCTCCCTGCTATAAAGGCTGGTTATGGATTCATGCATGTACCACTTTTTTCTAAGAGGGTTTGACCAGCCCACCCGAGACCCTGCAGAGCCCACCATAGAGAGTCTATGGTGGGCTCTGCAGGGTCACCCTCAGGTGGGCTATTTGGGTGATCAGGTGGGCGTAACTAGAAATCACATGGCCCCATGGGAAATGTTGCTATGGGGCCCTGTGATTTCTAGTTACGCCTCTGGGTGAGACTACAAATTACATTGAGGGTTGCAAGACTATGACAGCGACAGACATGACTTCCAGAGGCAGATCCCTTATGGGATTAGTAGTTTCACCACAGCTGGAGGGCCAGAGTTGGCCTAATCCTGCACCCTAGGGGGCCAGAAATGGTCTGATTATCAAAAGCAATGCTCAAAATCAGGAGCATCACTTGCAATAATTAGGCTGGTTATCTATTTTAAAAGATTTTCACACAAGATTCACACTAATTGACAACGGATTAAACCCTGGGTGAAAATATTTGTAGTCCGACACCTCCATCCACATTACTGAATGTCCTCAGTACAGTTATGGCCAGGAGGAAGAGTCTGCAGGAGCCAGAGCATTGCACCCATGATCATGCTTGAAATGCTTTACTGGCTCCAATGCATAAAAATAGCAAATGCAAATTTTTTTTATTTTATTAATATGGGTGCATTTTTTTTTCTTTTTAAAAGGTGGATGTTACCTTTAACAACCCAGATAGCAAGGATAACTTGCTACAAACTTGTGGCAGGGTGAAATTGTAATTTTGTTAACTTGCTGCACACATTCCTGACAAGTTGTAGCCTTGCAGAACACTTGCAGCACCAGTTCTAGTTGACACTTTTTGAATTTGTTGCAAATTTGCTTGGCAAGTCTACAGCAGGAGTCCTGCAGGTCTTAGCAAGAGCTCCGCAAGCTCGCTGGTCTGGAGACTTGCAATGCAGACTTGCTGTAATTGTGCAACAAAATTGTGAAGCTTGGCAAGTCTGCAATAGTTTTAGCAAGTCATTTTCAAACTCGCAGCTCAATTGCTTGCTATCTGGGAAATACAGGGGATATCTAAATCCAGCTGGAGATTTGTATTATACAAACCACTACAATCTTTTTCTCTTGCTTAATTGTAAAAGGTTTAATACACACAATAAAAATTTGGGCAATTCCATGAGGAGATCATCTAAGAATGTAGGATAACGCTGCTCTGGACTCAACAATACCACTACCTGCCACTGCAGAGCATTTCTTAAATTTTCTCAATCACCTTCTGTAGACATTGCAAATCGGGTTGTAAATAATAATATCAATAAAAACAATACAATAACAATAATAATGCAATTTATATAATAAATATTTCATACATCCTTTGTTTACAAACAAATCACATTAAGTGCATTTTCACATTCACATCACTGCATTCCGTAAACACGCAGCAAACTTGCTTTACCAGGCATTCATGGAACACGTAAACACAATAATTCTTCCCTCGTGTGAACGCATGCACCAGATTTTGCTTCATACACTACTTTTCAGGTGTTGGTTGCATGTGCAGTCCAATGCTAAGCCTGATGAAGGGACCCTGCTGTCCCGAAAAGCACTTGTTTTTTTGACAAGGAACAGCAAATAAATGAACATTTTGCTATCCTAAAAAGGATTTGGTGTGCTGGTGACATTTCTATATATCGGTTGCATGTACAGCACCCATTGAAATCAATGGGGACGCGTAGGAAACAAATGCACAGTCACACGAGTCAGCGCAAAGAGTGTTCCCCGCTACATGTGAACAGGGACTTATTGAGACCCCAATCAGGGAGAGCTCTACACAATTCAGAAAAGTGTGCAGGTAACTTAAGACATCGATGTTGATGCCATTAAAATAAAAGACCTGGAACAGTTTTAGAAGTCTATGCACAGCCCTCTCATTACTTACCAGTATATGCCCAGCTTTGTCCTGCAAATAAAAAAAAAAGAGAATGGTTATCACAAAGCATGTGTAGCACCACATCAGGTAGACGATAGAAGAGGAGTAAAGATTCTTGCTGCAAGCAGTAATAACTACTTTGTACTTATGTGCAGCATTACCAGGTATAGTTATCGCTGGAGATGTACTTGTAGTAAATATAGACTACAAAAACTCATAAGGGTATACAATATTTGTACTAAGCATTTAGTAGAAAGCAGTACCTCCAGGCAGATTTCATTCAATGTGTCATTGAAGGACAGGTTAAATATGATGAAATTTGGCATGTAAATATAAAACGTCTTACCATCAGAGGCTGCCTGTGCAGCAGGAAGGGTGAGCAGGCAGAGGAGCAGTCTGTACATCTGTGAGGGTTTTAGTAACAGGAATGGTACCGTTGATTCACCTCTGTTCCCCAACCTTCTCCTCTCATACACTGCCCCTGCACAATGAGCTCTCAGTTACATACAAGTGTCTCCTCTGCCAGGCTCAGCCCAAACCCATTCCTTCACCAATAACTGAGGCAGCTCAATCTGTAACCTGGCTCACACTCTGACCCCTCCTCTCTCTACCTGCTCTTCATCCCAAAGAATGATCACACCTGAGAGAAGCTATGCAGGTCAATAAAGAACCTGAGACAGGTTTCTGTTTAACTTCACTGCTGAATGCCTTATGTCATTGGAGGATTGCCACAGCCAAGACAAAGCAAATTGCTCTACATATATAAACTGTACCAACACAATTGAACAGTGTATATAACATACATATAGAAGTCATATGACGAATGCATCTACCTTTGTATGTGCTTACCTTGTGATTGTTCCATAAGTGCAAAAGTTCAGCAGGATTGAACCTTAGATGTGTGTGACGGCAACGCCTGTACCCCAACTGGATACACGCATCAGAGCTAGCTCCCTGTGTGCTGGAACTAACTAGCAGTGTTGGTTATAAGAGAAACATTACCCTAAACATCAGACAGAACCAATGTTAGGGTAAAACAGTGACTTACAGAATCTCTGCCCGCACTCAACACTCTTTCTCACCCAGTCACTAGTTGGGACACAGTGTAGGGGAACAAACGTGAACACTTTATTGAGCAGCAGCACACATTTCATAGCTCACAGATCCCACCTCCCCTAGGTAAGATGACATTTTTTAAATAAAATATACTGTTCTGTGACCATGTCAGTAGGCTCATCAGGGAGGAAGATATAGTTTTCTCTGCAGGGAGCCTATTGTGTGGAGGAAGTAGTCCAGACTTTGTGGTGCCAGCAGGACATGGCACAGAAAATGTCCGCCCGAGAGCTCCATAAGATTGGGAAAAAATCCCAATGGCCCACGATCCAGAGGTGTGGGACAAGATACAGTACTAGTCCCACTGGAAATTTAAAACCTTAATTCAGGACAGGGTCCACAGTCGTTGTGGAGGAGGCTGGCCTTCGGTCTCCTCCAAGTGCCCAGGACACGGTGGCTTCCATGACAATGTGTAACTAAAGCTGGCAGATTTTTTGCACGAACCTTCATACGACAAATCTCATCAGACCATCTGATAATGCCATCAGGGACTCAACAAATGCTCCAAATTGTATTTGATTTTTAATATTTGATTTTGGAATGAATGGAGTTTTCAGAATAAAAACCATATGTACTGTTAGAATTTCATTTGTGCGAGGAAAAGTTTCCATCCTGCTCCTTCCATGTTTTTCATCACTATGGTCAAAAACAACCATTAATTTGATCCCATTAGCTATTAGAAAATCGAATGAATGTTCCAAAAACTATTTTTTTTAAGGACATTCTACCAGCTTTAGTCAGTGAACAATCACAGGTCCTATATATGTATTGCCATCTGTACACTTGTTGCATGAGAATGATTAGACACTAAACCTGGCCATACACTGTAATATGCTGTTCGTTCAACCTGGGGACTGAGCGAAGAAAATATAACAGATTCCTTTATCAATGCTTGCGATCAATTAATCTCCCACTGTTTGCACTGTATTCTGATGGCGGCTGCTGTCAACATACCAGTGAAAATGATATAGACTCACATAAATAAAGAACTAAATAAAATACCACATGCCATATTTATAAAGCAGTAAATGTGACATTCGCCAAACACTCCCTGCAGTTTAAAACAATTTAAAACACAGGCACTAGGAAGATACACCTGCAGTGAATGTTTGATGAATGTCACATTCACTGCTTTATAAGCATACCGATATCATCACAAATAATTCTTAACATTTCGCTTTCTTTAACAAATGAACACAACACATTTCACAATTTTACATTCATCCAGAATTGACTTGCGTTGCAGCTCTCTGCATTCGGTCATGTGACATCTCAGAGCTCAGACATCTCAGAGCTGAAAAGTCAATGCTGGAAGATTTTCCTCTGCCAGGTACTGTGGTTACAGACCTGATAGGGGCAGATAGCTGTATAATGTCCAGCAGCTGTCACTGACTGCATAGATCCCATCTGTCCCTCTTTCTTCCCCATGTGTTCCTCTTTTTTGTCTGATATATAGACCTCTTTTTAATTTAACTTGCCAAAGTGTTTTACTGCACTAAATATTGATTCCATCCTCTAAATCAGGGGTAGCCAAATGGCCCTCCAGCTGTGGTAAATCTACACATCCCATCATGCACCTGCCTCTTGGGATTTGTAGTTTTTCCTTAGCTGGAGGCCCGAAGTTTGGCTCCCCCTGCTCTAAATTATTGCATTGGTAATTTTGAAAAACTCATTTAAAGGAAAAGTGGTGATGAAAAAAGCGCTTGTAGGTTTAACAAATCTGTTTTTGTACTAATTCTTCATGATTCATATAAAGTTGGGCAAGGCAGTGTCTCTTCCCTATATCTTGTGTGCTAAAAGGTGTCCCTCTTTCCCATCTCAGAAATTGAGGAGGTATGCTAACTGCTGGTCCTGATCTGATCTATGTAGATAAGTGTCTACACTAAGGGCCACCAACCCAACATATCAGTTCTCCCATGGTGTGTATGTTTTCTTATACTGATCACCTTTTCAGCTGTCAAAAGTCTGAGTCTGCATCAGTCGGAGCTTACACAGAGCTAATGACCTTAGCCCTGTGCCAGTGTTCAGGGCTGGCAATTGAATACTCTGGTACCATGCACTGCATAGTGGAAAGAAGGTGTCACGTACCATAGGGAAATCTGAAGTGTTGAGGGCGGCCTCTCTCACAACTCTGGTCCTGGGGCACCTGGATTGGGTACAGGAGCACCAGGGCACAGAGGGGCAGGGATGCCAGTTGAAGATAGATCGGTAGAGCAGGAAATGGAGAAATGGGTGCAGCTCCAGGCAGGCAACGGATCATGCAGAATCGTCAGGACAGGCCGAGGTCGTCAACATGCAGGTAACACAGTACCAGGGGATGAAGCAGGAACAACGTCAGGAACAAGCCGAGGGTTGAAGCACTGGAGAGAAGCAGAAGGTCAAGCCAAGCCGGGTCAATAATAGAACAGATACTCAGAAACAGGATGCAGGAACTCACAGGGAAGCTGACAAATCTGACAGCAAAGGAGGTTTGTTAGTCACAGCCTTTATAGCCCAGGGGGCGCCAAACACTCAAACAATACGTCGGCGTGCATGGTGCGCATGTTCACGCAGAGACGCTGCACCTGATACAACTCTATGAGCTGCACCATGCGCATGTGCAAACCGCAGTGTAAGAATCCGGGCTACGGCTCTGGTTCTGGCTTCCTGACAGAAGGGGAGAAGGACATGTTATCTATGATGGAAGTCCTGGGTGTTTTCAAAGGCCTCTGGAGCTGTGGGGAGTACAGCAAAAGTAGGAATGAGTGGAGGGAGGAAGGAAGTCTTATCTAGAGTACCTGTCCCTTTGCCCTGAAACATAGACCGCAGACCCAATACACTGATCATACATGTTTTTCCTAAGCCTAGGGGATGTTGCTCCAAGGTGGTTACAGGTGCCATCTGCTTGTCAAATCTACTTTTCCATTGACTGGACACAAGTAGTTATTCAAACTGGCTGCCCCCGGATATACCTTGTATGACATTGTACAATGAATGTGAATACTGACAAACTTAACAAAAATATCTAGCTATTGACAGGTACATGTACACATTTCTTGCTGAGAGGTTCTCTTTCAATGTCCTTTAGACACTTGCTAATTCTGATGCCTTTTTATGACAGCTGAATAATATACAAAAATCATAATAATTATTTTTGCAAATAATGCAAAAACTTTTGTACAAAAAGTAATTAGCCTACTGGGCTATACATTTTTATCCACTTACCATTGAAGCTACAAATGAGTGGATGCTAGTACTAAACCTATAACCTTATTGCTGGCTGTTCAAACTCACAGGAGGGAATTGATCAAAACTGGGGCAGACAAAATCTGGAGCAGATTTACACTGCAACCAATCAGCTTCTCTGTCTCATTGTCAAATCTTTTCTGAGCAAACTGAAGAGAGATGCTGATTGGTTGCCATGGTTTTAATAAATTCCCCCCAATGAGTTTAGTACTGTTACAGGAGAAGAACTGTTTATATTCATTTCTATTATTATTTTTTTTACAAAAACATTTTGAAAAATGCGTAGTCTTCCACAAGAGATAACCTCCTGTCATACTCAGGTATTCCTAGGGCTGAAGGAAATGATTACATGGTTCCTTGTCCTTCGGCACCAGAAAGTTTCTGTTAAAGGGGAGATTGTAAGGTATTTTCTTGCAACTATATTGTTGAAATCTCTATAATGAGTCTGCCTATCTGCTGCGAGGAGGTCCACACTCCCTATTTGATTTTGTCTTTAATTCATACTGTAGAAGGTATATAAGGAGACAAATCAAGGGGGGGCTAGAACACCCAATACTCCAAGATAGGTGTGAACAGATGCAGGAACTATGCGGGACAGTCCACAAGAAATATAAGATGTCTCCTAGTGACTTAGCCAACTAGACTTCAACAGCAACTGAAATAACCATTTTGTGTGGACAGGCCCTTTAAATGATCTCCCCTATACCTGTATCCAAAATGACTGATTCTAATAGAACTGGACTGTAAGATTCTGAGGGAGTCTGAAAGTGTACGCAAATAACGCAAGCACAATGCTTCCCATAAAATTGGTGTTTTGTTTCTAATAAAGTTTATTCTTAATCCTCCATGTGTCTATGTTTTTGTTTTACCCTTAATTCTTGCATGAATTTGTCCAAATGATTAAATTCTGTTATGTACTGCATGGGGTTTGTTAATATTTAAGAAGAAACCCCTTTTATCCTTAATGATTTTATATGTCATGTTGGCTTTGACTAACTTTCTCATAAACAAATAACACAATGTACTTTATAAAGAAAAAGTTGGCATGGATAGACAAAAGTGAATGAAAAAGAAATAGCTTTGACCCTTGGTCAGGTTACATATCACTTCA